AGATGTACAGTACTTACGCAGGAGCATCAGGGCTCCTAGAAGTGATATGCATGAATATATGAATGGAAGACCAGGAACCCATGCCTCTGTGAAAACCAAAAATGATTAACATTTTTAGTTAACTACTAAAAATTTCAAGCTAAGAAAAAAGAAAAAAAATTTTTTGAAAGGTTGCATTCATTTACACCAATGCTCAAAATGAGAGCAGGAGATATCCCTGGTGAATTTTTGAAGCCCTTTTTAAGTACCAGACGAGTATTACACACCACATACATGTACAAGTCGGACCCGACGTCATATGTGTATTGAGTTTGTTGGTTCTCTACTCTGCTCTGAGAGGTTTTTCCCCGCGTACTCCGGTTTTCCCCTCTCCTCAAAAACCATCATTATTTGAACTTATTTAGTTTAAGTTTATTTGTTGCTCGGAGATATTAGCACTTGCATGCTACCTTGAAATTCGAGGATAAATAAAGTTGTTATTATTATTATTATTATTTATTATTATAACAACATCTTTGACATACTATGAAAACTTTGATTGAGAGCCTATGATCAATATATAATTGCAGGCTATCATATTGTGTTCAAAGTCTGCCTTGTTTCCAAACCCCTTGTCCATGTAACTGTGCTCTCAAACTACTGCAAACTTTTCTTTAGTTGCAGATTCTTTTAAATAAAACAGTAACTGAATTTGGTTTTTGCATGATATCATGAATTATCATACCTCCTGTTTGTGTTATCTGCCTCAGCCTGGCTTCAGCTTTGGCAGATACAGTAACTAGCGGACCTCAGCATTGATATTTCACGATACCATGCCCAGCCAATAATTGCTTACAATAAATTAAGTTTCGATATTGTTAAAAACAGCCTGGTTCATATAATTAAGTCACATAATTTGTTTTGCCCTCAAAATCTAAACCCAAGAAGGGGTATTAAAAAGATTTTCAGTAACCTGACTGTCTTAACCTACAGGGCAAAGATCCTTCATGCTCTCTAAGTACCAACAAGCATCTGGAACAGCTGGTGCATTTTTCAGAGCAGACAGTAAAATGAGTCAGTTACAGGCCTAAGCTAATTATAAATACCTCCATCAGTAGTGCGCCCTCTGTCAATCAATGCTAGTCCCACCCACACAATGCTTGTAACCAGAACAGCAAGTAAACCTAGAACAACTGATGTCTCATAGACTCGAGCCATGATACCCTGCAAAATATCAGCTCTTGCATTTAGAAAACACCTAACTTTTTATTTCAAATTCCCCTTACTCCTTCCATCATGAGAGAAGAGGGGGGGTTTTGGAAGCAGAAATTGAAGAAAAAGGGTTTATATAGACATATACTGTAGGCAAAAAGGGAAACAAGTAAAAAGTATCAGCTGTCTTTTTGTTGAAACAGGACAAGGAGATGAGCTTGGAAATTATTCAGGCTTAAGTACAAACAGCTATTTTACAAATAAATTCCATGGTGCCATGCTTCTGTTCAGTAACAGATCAAAGATCACGTCAAACTGTAGTAGTCTGAACAAAAAGGTGGCATATTACGTTAACCTGAGTGTGTCACTGATGTACTTACAACATTTTGATCTATTACTGAACAGACCCATGGCAACTTGGAATCAATTTGCTTTAAATAAAAGTCACAACATGTTGTCAGTGGTGACGTCATGCCTGCATCTCTTCTCTGATAGATCATTATTAAGATCCAATGCAAATGCATCTAAAATAAATCCAGCTTGTAACCGGTAAACAGTTATCCTTAATATTCATTGTTTTATAATAAAGAAAGAGAGATAATACTAAAAGGTGCAAAAAGGTGGGAAAGCAGGATGGGGGAGTGAGAGATTGACATCTTCCTGTTCCTTCTATGAAAAGATCAAAAAGAGGGGTTCATGCACTTCCTCCTCTGCTCTTATTCCAAGAACAAAACCAAGACTGCCACTGATTAGCACTCATCACATTGACAACTGTATTTAGCATCATTCTGTATAAGTACAGAAAATCTGTAGACAAATTCCAGACACTATTTACCTTTCTGGATCCTGCAAACCCCTCTGACTCAGTGAAAAAGTAGGCAAAAGGGATGGCCACAAAAAGAGACATGTAAGAGCCTAAAAATATCTGGTTCCACATTCCTGTATGAATAAAGTCCAAAAAAGAAGATTATTATATTGAGCAAATACAGCTATGGTGGGATACAGCTACAGTAAAATATAATTAAACAGGTATAGTTAACTCATATCAGCTGAGCAAAAGTCATGTCATAAGTTTATTGCAGCAACTATGAAATGAAGAGTTTTTGTCATCTGCCTCAAGTCAAAATACAAACTAGCAACTGCACATCTCAGGCAGACTTTGAAGGTTGCTATGCTCTTTGGTAAGCTGTCTGTCAGGTGGCTAGTTAATTAAAGTGTAACAGTAAGTCTAAATATGTTTTGGGTTTCACGCACAGTAACTAAACTGTCAATCAAAAGACAACTTTCACATAATTATCAAGTTGATCCATATATTAAACAGTACCCTGCAAGTAGTAAGTAACTAACAGTTTTGGGAGCCTACAGCAATCTGAAACAATTTAACTGAGTTACTACAACATGACTCACAAACACTTCATTAACCCTAATTTACACTTCCAGAAGTGATTTTGAAAAAACACTTGTATCTTCTCCCTTTAATATCCACACATTATCCAACAAACACATTGTGAGAATCATAAAACTTATCAGAAATAAGTTGTTATCTTCATCTACATCTAGCAGGAATTTCAAAAACTTTTTCTATCAAACTTTTCAGCTGCTGATGCTTTTACAGGTGGTTGTGCTCGAAAAAGGGGGTTGCAGCACGCAACCTAACCACAAGAGCCAGCACATAGGTCAAATAGACAGTGATTAGAGGCTGCAGTAGACCACTGGGGGCTGACTTTGTTTGAAACTCCTAGATAAACGTAGCAACAACTATTCTCATAGCTAACTAACAAAGACATGTGTGACATCCACAGGGGATCTAAATCTGATCTTGGGAGTTGAAAGGTTGTTCAAAGTATACAAATAAAGATGAAATCTCCATATGGAAAGTATTTCATGCTGTTCAGCAGTAACAATAATTATTACCTTACCATGAATAAGAGAGCCATTAAGCCATTTGATGTAGTAACTGTTGGGATACATTATCATAATTTCATTACTGAAGATGGACATTGGCAGCAGAAGTACAGCACCAAGGGATACTGTGAGGGTAAATGTACACAGCCAAAAGCTACAAGCAGAAGTCAGATTAAACACTTAGAAAGGAGTAGCAACAAATTTAAGAACAGTTGAACAGGTGGGACAGAATCTTATTAAGGTACTTACGAAATCCTATAAACAAATGCATCTTCATCATCTACAAAAAAAAAAGTGCAAATCTTATTTAACAGGCTAGAATTGCTACACCATTCACACCTAAACCAAGGGGTCTTCTCATAAATAATTAAATAAGGAAGGAAAAAATTCAGGACTTCAGAAACTGACAGCTAACAGCCATAGATTTCTTTGTCACCTAATCTAAGAATTTGCTACCATCAGCATAATACCTCTTTGATATCTGAGTGTACATGTGTTAATAGCAATCAAGCAAGCAAGCAGCAAGCTCAATTCTAGCTTCTTAGAAAGTTCTAGTTTCCCTCCCCCCCCTCCCATTACCATAGACAGTTTTTATTAGTGTTTGTAATTTATTCCTGATACTAGACCATTGTTTTAGTGTATCCATCAAATACCTTTGATCTAATTATGTAATGTTTTATGTATGTGGGATATGTCTGGTCCTAATTAGTGGACCACTGTTTTAGGCAGGGTTCATACACTTTTTCAGGCCAAAGATTCAAGGACTTTTCAAGGACTTTCCAGGACCCTACTTAGAAATTTCAAGGACTTTTTGTAATGACAATTTTACCTCAAAACCAAGAAAAATGTTTCTGTTAACATCTATGTTTTGGGTTTACCAATGGTGCAAAACAAAAGCAGATATTTTTCGATGTTGTTCAATAAAATATCAAGGACTTTCAAGGACCCAAAACGAAATTCAAGTACTTTCAAGGCCTTGAAATCGGCCTCCTGAAATTCAAGGGTTTTCAAGATGCGTACGAACCCTGTTTAGTGTATCCATCAAATACCTTTGATGTAATTGTGTAGTGTTTTATGTATGTAGGATACATACATAATTTTTGATAAACTGTCTGGTCCTAAAAACAAGCCTCAGTGTCTGTCTAGTGTTTAGACTAGTGTACATATAAAATGAGAGGAGGGAAGCAAGTAACCAGACAGGCTCTCCATAATCTAATCCTTAACATCATGACATCTTTTTCCCACACCTGCTGTCTCATCACATTTTCTTTGTCACTGACAAGGACTACATTTTTTTGACAATTAGGAGATTTTAAATTCAAGATCATTTTGTCTTTGCATGATCTTTGATTCAATTGTGATACTGTGACAAGAAATTGGAAGCCAGCTGTCACTCTTTAGGCTGTGACCTGAATTAACTGTGGTCCTGCCAGAGGACTGGGGTCAAGTATGTGTAGCCAAGTTACTTGGACTGTTTTCGAAATGGTGGCCATCAATTTCCAAACATTTGAAGAAAATTTTCTAAAAGTTAGCCAATACTTTCATACACCCCTGATGTTGGTAGAGAATGATGAAAAATCATTTTTACTGTGGATTCTACAGGAAGAGTAAAAAGTTTCGCTTGAGATACAAACATCATCTTTCTAACCTGAATCAAGTTCATCCCTTCCTCTCTTGTAGGTGCTTAACGTGGCATGAGAAATTCCATACAAAATGATAAACACAAGCAAAGATATCTAGAACAAAAGGAAAATAAACTATGTGATCATGAAATGCACCAATATTATTTTAACTGATCTGTGATTAAACTTTTAATACTGTAGGCAATATCTGTGGCTGACTGAGTATCAAGTTTCTAAATGTCAAGAGATCTTCAAAATCACAAAAATATTACTACCGGTTTGCAATACTTGTGGTGTTAGTCGTAAGTACAACTGAGTAAACAGTTACAAATTTTCGCACCAAACAGTTTCATTGGAATGACTTAAACTGCAGTTAATTAGCATTTCCTTGCAAATTCAGAGCATGTACATTTATGTCGATGTAATTTGTATATATCATTAAACATTTAAGAAAGGGAACTGATCAATACTAACCACATATTCTCTAACCGTATCGTAAAATATCTGTTCTTCGTCGTCATTTCCATCGCTGTTAACCTCCATTACTCAACCACTTGATGGTAAGAACATGAGACCCCTCGCTAAAAATTTCGCCGACATGATCCCTCGTGCAACAACAACATTCCGCCTTGAAGTTTCGAAAGCATTTTAGCTTGCAAAATATTCGTCAGAAGCACAGAAAAAAATTAACGGTTGGATCACAGTGTGAATAAGAATGACTTAAAGTTAAGATCAGTTTTTGACCACCCAATCCTTTTCTGAAGCGCGCCAAGCGTGTGGCGCATGAGGCTTCAAGTTTTCGTTGTAGTCGACTTTGACCAATCTGCAACCATCTGACGGCTAAGGAAACTCAAAGATAATCGTATTTGTCTCGTCAAGTTATTTTTGGGTCAAGAAAGTTCAAAGACCAATGTTACGTGCTGGGAATCCTTGGCAATTTTGCAATGTCAGAGACGTTTTTTTGTTTTTCCCGTTCCATTTTCCCGTCCATGAGGGAAGAGCAGAGCTTGGGTCGAGTGGGCGGGAAAGGGGAAGGTCTGGATGCTAGTGAACAGGAAAAGAACAAACAAACAAAAAATTTTGCTATTCCGAAAGATCGAGTTGCCTTTTCGATTTTTGATACAAATCAAATGCTTTACTAATCCATATTTATACTTTCTTAGAATAGAAGAGGCTTTAAGGCACTCAACTGCGATACACGTCCTCCGATCGCCTTAAAAAACGCAATTAGATGATACTGGCTATTTTA